TCGGTTCAAAAAGAAACGATGCCTAAAACTGGTGCGTTGGCATTTTTGTAATTATCGCGCAAAGGTATATGTCTCGGTTCAAAAGGAACCGATGCCTAAAACTGGCGCGGTGACATTTTGTAATTATTTTTTATTTTTTTGAGAGCGTTTAGGCATCGGTTTTTTATAGAACCGCGGTCGTAGACCCTTATTGCCTCGGTTAAAAAAATAACCGAGGTAATAACATGTGTTTAGGGTTTAATTTCGCAAACAGAGATAGAAGTTGTGCCGCTCCTCTCTTTTCTCCCATTTTCTTTTGCATCCCTTCCTTCCTCTTCTTTGCTCTGATGGAGGCGCGACAAAGGGATCTTCACACTAGTAAAAAATGACGCTTCCCTGCTCATTTCCCCCGAAGCACCTCTCCTCTTCTTCTTCTCTGCCTCTTTTCTGCCTCTTCTCCGCCTCGCTCCCTTCCTTCGCACTGTGCGATGTGCGACGACGATGGACGCAACGGCGGCAGCGAGGACGCGGCACTGAGAACGCACCGGCGACGAGACACGGCGACGACGACGAAGGGCAAATCTGCGTCGACGGAGGGCAGATCTGGGCGCACGGAGGGCAAATCTGCATCGACGGACTGCATTCTTCGTTGGTGGCGGTGAAGCGATCGTTCGTGGGTGATGCATAAGAACAAACATCAACAACATCCTAAAGCTTAAAAAAAAAAACAAGTTACTGCCTCGGTTACGTAAAAACCGAGGCATAAATCCTATTCTTTTTAACTCAGTTCACGACCGAGGCATAAAACCTACCCTTTTTTATCTCGTCGGTATATGCCTCGGTTGTAAAACCGGTGCCTAAAAGCAAAAGTAACCGGTGCAGTATCCTCTTAGTGTACTAGTGTTTGCATTGATCATGTATTGTTTAAATACAAGTAGTAATGTACAATCAAGATCCTATAATTATAGTAATACAAACAAATGTTGATGAATAATTAGTGTAATTACTATAATATTATACAATGGTACGAGCTAAGAAGTGAGATGAGCATGTATCTTCTCCCAAACCTGAAATACAATGGTACGAGTAAGAAGGACGCCGATAAAGAGGATTGAAGCCAATAAAGGAGAAAGCTGATCCTAGGTATGCCAGGTGAACAAGAAAGCGTTGTAGGCAATGGGCTTTGATCACAGGTTTGATTTATTGTTGTCAAAGGAAAAAGTTAGTATCAATGAGTTTTTTTCGAAATGGAATAGAAAAAAAAAACCGGTGTGGAGGTCTCTATGGAACCAGGACCGGCTCTTAATACCATGTTAGAAAACCTACGCTACTACTAAAAGAAAGAGTGACCAAAGAATGAAAATATTATTCACCTTAACATTGTAACCCTTGAATACATGGTCTTATATAACAAAATATTTGTAAACACTAAAAACCAAAAATGAAAATAAAACAGAAAATAAAGCACACAGATAAAATCATCAGATTCTAACATATTTCTATGCCTCCTAACACTCATAAATTTTGTAAACCTTACAAACCGTGATGGTGAAGAACCAGGACACGTAGTTATGAAAAATATTATATTTCCTTTTATGTAAGAAAATTGTGTCTAACTCAATTTTATTTATGAATTGTTGATTTTTGTAGTGTAGAGATAAAATGAGTGATGATGATTCGTTTCTTAACCTTAATTTTTTTTAATTCAAATGGTAAGTTTAAAATGATTCAATTGAAATCTTTTACTAAAATTTTTATAAATATACTATAACGTGATTGTTAATATTTTTTTTTTCACTACTTTAAGAGAGTAAAATGTAAATTTAACTTAATTCTACAACATTCTATGTTTGTAATTTTGAATTTAGGACCTAATTCAATCTCTAGAAATATATTACCACAAATAAATTTTATAATATAAAAAGAATTAATCATAAAACAAAAGTTACAAGTTACAAGCATATTTGAAGTCAAAAGATACATCATTATTAAATGAAGAAACGTGTTTCATTTGAAGAATAACCTTTTGCAACACAATATGAAAAAAAAAAACATTTACACCACAATTGACAAAAGATCTAAAGAGTCCCTTGCATGAAATTTGAAAGAGGAACACAAGAAAAATGTCGTGGTTACCTGCAAAAATTAAATAAAATTGATTCATATAAATGAATAATAAAATACACGAGAGTAATTTACCACGTTTATTTCAATAAATGATCAATTTGTTATGTTTTTTACTGCACATGAATTTAAACTTTATTCATAAGAGTTAAATATGGTTTTTATTCTTAAATATTATACAAAATTGAAATTCATCATTCTCAAAAACTTTACATTATGGTATTCCAACTATAAAAATGAATTAATATGATCATTTTAACTCAATTAGTTAATTTTGTTGTGTCAAATGCATTTTTTAGTTGATATTGAAGTGAGAATGTATTAAATAAAATAGGTTTAAACACTCATTTGGTCCTCATATTTGTTGGTCAATCTCAAGTGGGTCATTGTATTTTTTCGGTCTCAATTGGATTCATAAACTTATAAATTATCTCAATTGGGTCCAAATATTTGAAAAATTGAGTCAATTAAGCCATCTCCGTTAAGTTTTCACAAACGACGTTAATATTGGTTAAAATTGGCTTACGTGGTGTACGCTTAATGTGCTGACGTAAAACTATTATATTACATGAAATTTTTTAACTTAATTAACCTTGTTTGGCGTGGCACAAAATGAATTAGTAATGTTAAGCATTTTTTAGAATTAGAAATTTTTTAATAAAATAAGGTTAGAGAAAGGGAATTAGGAATTTAATATGTAAATTCAGTCGAAGAACACACGAGAGTGAGAAGACGAAGCAATAACCTCACCCAACCATCGTTCGTCGCCGTCATGCAAGCCCTAAACTCGCTCACCCTCTACGTTTCTCCCTTGGACTCGCTTCACGCTCCCAACAATGCCGCCAACAGAAGGGTCGTTGCTGCCAAATGCTTCTTCTTCCTCTTCGCCGTGACGGAGCCCAAGGTCTCTGCCCTGCAGCGCCAGAAGGACCCCAATCGCGTCTTCTTCGTCTCCACTTCGCGTTCGTGTTCGGATTTATGCTTTTGGAGGGGTTTGGTTCACCAGATTCAGATTTGTTTGATAACGATCTTGTTGCTTTAGTTCCAAACCTTTGAATGAAATTTTGATTCTTTGGATTCGTTTCTGGGGTCGAAGGGTACCCTTCTCCCAAGTTAAAGTCTCAGATTCGTAGATCTTAGTCCTCTTCTAAGTTTCAGGGTAAAAAGCTTCACTTTCATGTAAATAGAGGAATACCGAATAGGGTCAGTTCGCGGTTGAGAGCTCAGATGACCCTTAGAATAGGGAATGTTCATAAATGGTGGGAAAAGGGGCTTCAACCCAAAATGAAAGAGGTGACTTCTGTCCAAGACCTTGTGTAGTCACTGTTAAACGCGGGGGACAAACTGGTGGTGGTTGATTTCTTCTCTCCTGGTTGTGGTGGCTGCAAAGTTCTTAATCCTAAGATATGTCAACTGGCAGAGATGAATTCTGATGTTCAAATCCTTCAAGTGAATTATGACGAACATAAGTCCATGTGTTATAGCCTCAATGTCCATGTTCTCCTTTTCTTTGCAGTCGATTTTTGTGTGAAGATTTTCCATTTGGTTGCTTGTGAAGAATTCTTGAAGTGAAAGTGAAATCTCCTTGTTGTTGTGTTTTGATTTGTTTGATTTCAACAATCATCAATGTCGCTGTTGGCCGAGGGCTCTTTCAAGTCGCGACGACCCTCTAACCCTATTTCATTAAAAATCTTGTAATCCGAAGAAATTCTTAATTTGGACAATTAAATAATATAACATAACACGTCATATAACACTTAGAAATACTTAATAACAAATTAAATAACAAATTCCACCTAATATAAGACATATATATCAGCAGATTAAGTGTGCACCACGTCAGCCAATTTTAACGCCGTTTATGAAAACTTAACGGAGAGAGCTTAATTGACTCAATTTTTCAAATATTTGGACCCAATTGAGATAATTTACAAGTTTATGAACTCAATTGAGACCGAAAAAAAAAATGATGACCCACTTGAGATTGACCAACAAATATGATGACCAAATGAGGGTTTAAACCAATAAAATAAAGAATTGAAAAATATTAGTCTGAAATGCATTTGACACATAAAAAAACATAATTATGTTAAAAAAATTATCTTTATTTATTTTTAAATTTTAAAGACAAAAATGTATTAAAGTTTCAAATAAAAATAAATTCCAATTTCGAATCAATATTCAAGAATTAAAAAAGATATATTTAACCCTATATCTTATTTTGCATAATGTTCATTGCTATAAATGTTTATTTTCAATAATTTAGTTGAGTAGTGTGTATTAAAGTTTGAAATATACATTTATTTATGAATTGAGGATGAATATATCAGTATGTATAGTAAAAATCAGCATTTCACAAAGAAGATATGATCAATATCTCTGTAATAAAAATCGACATTTATTTATGAATCGAGGATGAATAGATCAATATATATTACGAATCTTCGTTGGAAAACTTTTTCCAGTTCCTTAATTTTTTTTAGAAAATCCTCCTAATTTTTCTTTCATGTTAGTAATTTGGTATTTTTTCCCATAATGGGATACTTAAGAATTGAAAGCATCAAGTTAGGATCAAATACAACCATACATCACCATAATCACATTTCAGTTGATTTAAAACCTTCTTTCCCATCATAACTAACTGATCTTTAATTATAGTAAATCAAACAACTGAGTTAAACATCTTGCATGATTTCATCTGCATAACTTTCTTAAGTGAATTTTAAAACAAGATTAAACTTGTTAACAGCAAAGCATCCACTCTTTTTTTCCTCCCACATTACATTATAATTATGGCAATAACAATAAGATAGACTAACACATATTCACTAAAACATACCTGCTACCAAAGCTTTGAGCCATTGGCAGAAGTTTTGCATATTCGTGATAGCTGTATCTCAGTTGTCAATATGTTCAAGAACCTTAGGTAAGCAATTCTCCAAGGTTTCCAAATTAGAATTGGCCCTATTAAGCCCCAAAATCCTACGAAGAATCCTAGGCCCATGCATGTATAATGCTTCATAGAATTCAGAATTATCTCCCTCCTTTTCTGTTGCTGCTTCTGGTTTTGCGGTTGAATAGTCTCCAGGACAACTTTTTTTGAGTTGTTCACCACAAAGATCAATATTTCCTTCAAAATAAGAGGCTTCAAAGGTCTGCAAATGTCTTCCCAATGGGATTCTTCCAGAAAGAGAGTTGTATGACAAGTCTAATTTTCCTAAGAAATCAAGTTGAGAAAGAGAAGAAGGAATTCTCCCATGCAAATGATTTCTTGACAAGTCAAGAGATTCAAGTGAACTTAAATTTCCAATCTCAGAAGGAATTTCTCCACTCAAATTGTTTCTTGATAAATTTAAAGAAACAATCCCAAACAAATNTATTTATGAATCGAGGATGAATAGATCAATATATATTACGAATCTTCGTTGGAAAACTTTTTCTAGTTCCTTAATATTTTTTGGAAAATCCTCCTCATTTTTCTTTCATGTTAGTAATTTGGTATTTTTTCCCATAATGGGATACTTAAGAATTGAAAGCATCAAGTTAGGATCAAATACAACCATACATCACCATAATCACATTTCAGTTGATTTAAAACCTTCTTTCCCATCATAACTAACTGATCTTTAATTATAGTAAATCAAACAACTGAGTTAAACATCTTGCATGATTTCATCTGCATAACTTTCTTAAGTGAATTTTAAAACAAGATTAAACTTGTTAACAGCAAAGCATCCACTCTTTTTTTCCTCCCACATTACATTATAATTATGGCAATAACAATAAGATAGACTAACACATATTCACTAAAACATACCTGCTACCAAAGCTTTGAGCCATTGGCAGAAGTTTTGCATATTCGTGATAGCTGTATCTCAGTTGTCAATATGTTCAAGAACCTTAGGTAAGCAATTCTCCAAGGTTTCCAAATTAGAATTGGCCCTATTAAGCCCCAAAATCCTACGAAGAATCCTAGGCCCATGCATGTATAATGCTTCATAGAATTCAGAATTATCTCCCTCCTTTTCTGTTGCTGCTTCTGGTTTTGCGGTTGAATAGTCTCCAGGACAACTTTTTTTGAGTTGTTCACCACAAAGATCAATATTTCCTTCAAAATAAGAGGCTTCAAAGGTCTGCAAATGTCTTCCCAATGGGATTCTTCCAGAAAGAGAGTTGTATGACAAGTCTAATTTTCCTAAGAAATCAAGTTGAGAAAGAGAAGAAGGAATTCTCCCATGCAAATGATTTCTTGACAAGTCAAGAGATTCAAGTGAACTTAAATTTCCAATCTCAGAAGGAATTTCTCCACTCAAATTGTTTCTTGATAAATTTAAAGAAACAATCCCAAGAAAATGCACAATCTCTTTTCGTATTTCACCTGTTAAATTATTACTAGAGAGATCAATACTCTTAAGATTCAATTAGGGATCTCTGAACACCTGTTCCACACCTTTCCACACCAACGTTATGTCAAGCCTGTAGTCAAAAGACATGGAGGGACCGTAGATTTCCCTATAAGTAATATTGTACCCATATATAAGGCCTTGAGTTTCAGTTCTGTTGATGTTCTTTTCAGACATGGCTGTAAAATTCTTTAAGCATGTTGGAATTGCTTTTGATAATTTATTCCTGGAGAGATTCAACAATTGAATATGTCTTAAATAACAAAGTTGAATAGGAAAATTTAATGAGAAGTGATTCCCTTGCATGTTCAAGATTCTCAATTGCTGCATACTTTCTCCAATCCATGATGGTATTCGACCAGACAAATTATTTTCACTCACATCCAGCATAATTAAATTAGTGCAATTCTTCAAACTGGAATGCAGTCCACCTCTTAAATTATTCTTTCGCAAAACCAGCGCTTCTAATTTAACAAGTTTCCCCATGGAGATGGGAATATTCCCAGACAACTTATTCTTGCTCAAATCAAGAAATAGTAATTGGTCTAAAGATTGCCAACAATCCGGAATTTGTCCCGTTATATGATTGTTTGATAAATCTAATGTTGCCAAATTCGGAGCAATGATTTGGTTACACAAAAAAGAATGCAAATCAGAAATTATATTTTTAGAGAATAAAAGCCCTGAAGCTTGTAGCAAAAAGGGTGGAAGTGTACCCTCAAATTGATTTGAATTCAGAATTATAGAGGTTCCATAAGGAAGCTTTAATGGTATATCAGGAATTGCACCATTGAGATTATTGTGAGACATGTTTAACCATTTTAAATTTTGCAATTTGTTCCAAAACCATGCTGGTACAGAATCACTAAGCTCATTATCAGATATATCTAGCGACATTAAAGAATTCTGTGTCCGGAGCCAACCAGGAAAACTCGGACCTAGCTTGCAAGATGCTAAACTCAATCTTGTTGCTTGAAAAGGAGGAACCCCATTAGAGACAAATCTTAGAGACAATGTGTTGTATGATAAGGATAAAGTTTCTAATTTGGAAAAATTAGAAAGATGAGATTCAGTGATTTCACCCTCTAAAGAATTTCCCTCCAAATATAGATCCTCCAACTCAGATAGCAATATGATGCTTTTTGGTATCTTTCCTGTAATTTGGTTATATGATAAATCCAAATTTTGAAATACGTGTCTTTTGCACCATGAAGAATTTTGAAAGAAATGAGAAATTTCCCCATTCAACTTGTTATTTGAAAGGTCTAAGGTCTGCAGTCTGCACATGTTTCCAAAGAAAGATGGAATCTTTCCTTGTAGTCTGTTCCTGGAGGCATAGAATTGTTCAAGAGAGTTCATTACTTCTCCAAATCCATCTGGAATGGGACCTTCTAGCAGGTTGCCATAAAGTAAAAGGGTTTGAAGATTCGTGGTGTAATTCAGAAGCCAGTAAAACACAGTAGATGATTTCAATAGATTTGAGGAAAGATCAAGTATGACAAGAGAAGATGAAGAATTAATTGTGGAAGCAGAGGAAATAGGAAGTTATACAGACGAAGCTCCCGTAGATGGGAGCCAAAATTAAAATTTCCTTGAAATACTGATGATGTTAGATTATTCAAGGAGAGATCAAGTATATTAAGAGATGGAAAATTTGGAAAAAGAAAAGATGACAATGCAATGTCATTATCTCTGAGATAAAGCTCTTGTAGATGAAGGCTAAAATTGAATATCAGTTGAAATGTTGAGGAAGTTAGCACATTATAAGAATAATCAATGACAGCAAGAGAAGTTGAAAAGTTGGGATGAGAACGAAACAAAGTTTTGATATTAGTATCTGAAAGAGAACAATCGACAAGCCTCAACTCTACTAAGTTTGGAATGAGCTCACTGATAGCTTGTAGCCACTGGCGCGAGAAGCTGAGATAATGCAATGATGTCAATTGAAGGCTTGTTAAAGAATGGAGATTAGACAACACTGTGAATCCTCAGTTTCTATATAAAAATCACCACCTATCCGAAGAGTTTGTAAGAGAGGAAGATTCCCATTCCGAAAAGGGATAGCTCCAGAAAGAGTGTTACTTGCAAGATTAAGATATTGTAGCCGCTTGAGATTCCTAAGTTGAAATGGGATTTCTCCTGATAGAGAATTCCCTCCAAGATCAAGATATTGTAACTGTCTAAGATTCCCAATCTGAAAAGGAACTGGTCCAAGAAGACTATTTCTTCCAAGGTCTGGATACTGTAGTAGTGAAAGATTTCCAAGTTGGAAAGGAATCTTCCCACTCAATAAAGAAAATGAGAGGTTGAGATATCGTAAGTTGGTAAAAGAGCCAATGGCTTGTGGGATGTGAATCCACATAAAATCATTATTGCTGATGTCTAGATGTCGAATGTATTGCAAGTGAATCAATGAAGTGAGATTGATTGCACCTGTTAAATATAGTGTATCCAGACAACGAAGATCAAGTAGATGTATTATTTTGATGATGAGTCCAAGAAGACAGTATGCCATAGTCATCTATGAGGCTTTCTTTGAAGTTGAGGAGTGTTTGTCTCTCCTTCTCTCTGCACTTTGCTTCAGCACCTACGATTGACCTTGTGAATCCCAAACAAAATTCTGTTGCATGCAATAAAAGCAGAAGAGCACATGTTGTCAGAAAGTAACGTCTCATTATAGCTAGCTGAAAGGAAAATCTTAACCGAAGACAAGATAACGTCAATGCAAGAGAGAATTATAATCTGAGTTTTTCTTGTGGTGATGTTAAGCAAATGCAAAATTATTTATATTGACGATTGTATAGCTAAGGGTGAAGACAACCAGACAAAAAAGTATGGAGAGTAAATTCATGACATTAAAAATAGTAATTAAAAAATATTAAAGAAGAAGATTTCATAATGTGAAACACAATGTTGCTTTTGCTTCAAACATTACATACTTTTGCACAACATTTTTTTCCTTAAATATGGTATCGCGTGGTTCATTCAGACAGTAATCTTTGTTCTATTCATTTAACATACATTGGGTGTCTCACAGGAATATAAATGTATCATGCTTATCACATGGTATGTATAGTATTTCACAAAGTAAAGTGGAGTTTGGGGACATAGCACTTCTCTCAGTGGTGAAAAATTAATATTTAAACCTATCCTCAAAGTAGGAAACTCACATTTACCCTATTCTATTCTTACTTTTTCCATTAGTCTACAATTATCTTGATTTTCATCTCTCAAAACGTTGAAATGTGTAATTTTTTTTATCATGTGACACTTGTTGATGACTTTATATGTGAATGTCTAAATTACAATGTGTACATATCTATACAAACGTCAATATAAATTGCCTTTGTTTTGTTTCCCACGAGATATTTCTTTCACTTTTCTTTATTCATATTTTAAGATATCATGCTAAGCTGTTTTTAATGGTACGCATTCAATTATTCAACCACCAGT